GTCGAGGTGACCGAGCTAACGGACATCAACTACAACAGCAACTTGGTACGCCTGAGGCCGGGTCACATGAACGTGGTCTTGATCCTGTCCAACTCGACCAAGACCGTCCTCCTCCAGAAGTTTGCCCTGGAAGTCTACACGTTCACAGGGTAGGCCGGGGCTCTCTCCCGGGTTTCTCTTACTGCGTTAACAACTCGCGTAACGCCGCTCTGATGACAACTCAGGAGCGGCGTCGGCTCGACTGCCAGAAGCGAATGCTTCCAGCGAGCAAAGCGGCCTCTGCGCTCAATAGCAGCGACGAGCCACCGAAAACCGAGCGGCCTTTCCCGGCCGTACTTGGTGAAGGCGGCCGGGCAGGTCTGGCGCTGCCACTGCTTTGGCTGTACCCGCGTTTCAACAAACGGAGAGTGCGACAGCGCTGCGCGCTAGGAAATGGTCGCCTGCGCTGAACTGGGTTAAAAAAGGAGCTGCGGCGACACAGCTCTGCGCCCGCCCTCGTTTACAAACGCTGACCTGTCCGGTAGGAATCCGGCCTGACTCGAGAGACGTGCTAATCCTGCTTCTCCTCTGCTCTTCCCCCAGGAGCAGCTCTCTTCATTTCTCCTTCCTCAGCCTGGACAAGCACCGAGAATGGCTGGAGTACCTGTTAGAGTTCGCGCAGGATGCGGCCCCCATCCCGAACCAGTACGACAAGCATTTCCTCGAGCGCGACTACACAGGCTACGTCCTGGCTCTGAACGGCCACAAGAAATACTTCTGCCTCTTTAAGCCTCACAGATCGGGGGACGAGGGGGGAACCCTGGGATCGTGCGAGGATTACGATTCCTCGCTACACGCGGAAGCCAGAGGGAAATCCTCCTGCAGCCCAGGATCTAGGTCCATTAAAAACAAATTGCACAAATTGTCCTTTTGGATGGAACGCCTTCTAGAGGGCTCCTTACAGAGGTTCTATATCCCCTCGTGGCCCGCGCTAGACTGAGGGGTTTTAAAGAGATTCTAACGGACAAACTTTTTATGAAGATGACAAGGGACAGCTCTTTCCAGAATACACAAACAAGCGTGACGAACGGACCTTAGGTTTTAGATGAACTCTCCTAGGGCCGGCGACTAGAAAATACCTCCCCATGTCCAGAGCCCGAGAGCGCAGCCAAGCGCGCCGAAATTCCCTCCGCCGACTCCTTCGTGCGTTCGGAGGCCACGCTGCCGAA